GAAAAAGACATGGTTCCCCCGTCACTGGTAAAAAGACATGGTTGCAGAATCACTGGTAGAGTGACGGTCCCCCTGTCTCCACGAGCTAAAAGCAAGTACGGTGTGGCTAAGTTCGTGTCCCCCGGCTCTGTCACTGCTGTAAGGCCATACGTAGCAACACGAAAGAACACGCAATAAGCCTCAACGGAACAGAAGTGTACACCAACACAAATGGACCGTTCATTCATGGCCTTGTGACAGGTCTGAGGAAGGCACGCGTCGTCCCCCATTGTATGCTTTGAAAGAAGGCAGGTCAGTACCAAGCATGGGGTCAAAGATGACGTAGCACAAGGTGTTCTCTGGGGAAGCGTACGTGTGCCAGCACAAGCAGTATCTTTAATCACTCTCCCCCTTGTGTAGAAAGGAAAAAAGGTTCCACTAAGCAGGATAAACAGGATCCTAAAGTCAAAAGCGGGGGTTGGTGAGCGACTTCAGGCAGACCCTAAAGTGGCAGCTGGTCATGCATATTTGACCACTGTTGGCCTGTGTTCGTTGTGCGAGATGCAATCCCCCTTTCAACGCGGAACAGGACAACTCTGGAACCAAACTCACCCAAGCTATGGAATGCCGGCTGTCAAGGGGGCTTGCAGCCCTGGGTTGTGACAGAAAAAGGACGAAAGGGATCCCCCTGAGGCAAGCAAGCAAACCCCCGAAAAAAACAAGAAATCCAAAGGGCCCTGAAACGGCAAAAAAGGGAAAAGTAACCAGGCGGATCCCCCTCTCAGCCGCTCTCAGTGTTGGCGTCTGCTCAGAAGTAGTCATGTACATGTTCAGCAAGAACTCGGCGACGCCGGTGCGAGGCATCGGACATGTTGTCATCGTCGGTCTCCCCCGCGGGCTCCCCCGGTCGCGTTGTCGGAAGCGCTGCCGTTGATGCTCGGGCTACATCCCCCAGCCCATGGTGACGATCTTGATTCCACCATGTTTGCGAGGAATTGTTCCCCCTGGTTGTCGGCATCAGTGGGGCGCTTCCCCCGTCTTCCGGCAGGGCGGCCAGCAGTGCAGAGGTTTGGTGTAGCATCTCCAGTAGCTTGGCCTGCACCGCCTGCAATGTCCCCCGCGACGACAGGGGCAGGGTTGTGGCGATCTGGTCGAGGGTGTCCACACATTCCCCGTCTCGTGCTGCTGGTTGTTCACGTAGTTCCCCTTCTGTTGTCTCAAAGAGAGACTGGAGGGCAAGGCAAACATCCAGCATCTGCCTCCAGTCATCCGCCGTCATCTGAGCCTGTCCCCCTGCTATCTTGAGGAGCAGCTCTCGAAGCATTTGCATCAGGGCTGGCACCCCACGCTCAGCGAGCCATTCCCCTGCCATGCGCTGTAGCCATTGCACAAGGGCATCGATGCATGGCGTAAACTCTGCATGGCATATGTTGGCATGTGCGTGTTGTGAAAGTTGGAGTCTGGCAAGATCTGCCATGCACAGTATGGCAGTAGCCGTCGTCATCTGCCCCCGGGGGGTTTCTGCCTCTTGGGTGCGCGTGCATCGGCATCCCCCTGGTCCCCCCCTCCCCTCTGAGCTACATTGGTGGAGACTGCGGTGATGTGTTCATCTGCTTCAGTATATAGCAGCACGTCAATCAAAGCGCTATCGGCGATTTGCTGTATGGGTCGTCCCCCTGGCAAGTTTTCTGACAGTCGTCTGACAGCTATAAGGTGTGCTTCGAGCTGCTGCCACAACGGCCTCCCCTCCTCTTGTGGTTGTGCAGTCTGTTCCCCCTGTCCTGGGAGTTGAAGCGTGGTTTGGTCGGTTGCCGGCACAGTGGAGGGGGTGGTAGCAATGCTGATAGCCCCAGGGCTTTGCGGTGGCAAAGGTGAGTTAAGTGTTGGTGGCTGTGGTAGGGTTGTGGCTTGTTGTGGGTGTGCTTCTGCGGAGGGAGCCATGGGGTTGTGGTGGGCGGATGGCATGTCGGGTGTTGTGTCTTGGTTGTGCTTGTGGGAGCGTTGGATGCTTTTCTGCATGAAGTTGGGGTCGTCGCTGTCGCTGTCCGCTGCTGCAGGCGGCGGTGCTGGTGACGGGGCAGGGGTTGTCGTTGGCTGTCCCCGTCCCCCTATGTTGCGCTTGTCTCGGACCTTCGGGTAGAAGTGGTTGTCATCTGGCGGCGCCGGAGCTTGACTGTGGCTGTGCGTGTTTTGGTGGTGGGTCTGCTTGGGGGGGGGTGCTGCTGTTGCCCTCTGCGTAGCTGTCGGTCGTCGAGGAGAGGGTGTTTGGTTGCTTGTGATGGTAGTTGTTGTCGTGGCGGCTGTTCTTCCTGTTCCGAGGGGCTGGGCTGGGTATTGTGTTGTGGTGGTCGCATCGGGTAAAAGCTCTGCGTGGCAGGTGTTGTGGCTTTGGGCTTGTGTGGTATGTCTGCGTCCCCCGCGTCTGCTGAGCCCTGTTGGGCATGGACTGGTGGCGGGTCCGTGGAGCTCCGGGCCGAGCGGTCGTGGTGGAGCTGTGCAGGCTGTGTGGCGTGGGTCTGTGGTTGAGCTTGCGGTGGTGGTTGGTGGGAAGTGGTTGCCGCTGGGTTGGTCTCTGACGATGCGCTCCCCCGGCCTCTCTGCTTCCGGACTACTTGTTGTCGCGCATGCTGGACTTCGGGCGCAGCTGCCGCGCTGTACTGCTCCACTTCCATGTACCAGTGTCCCCCTTTTCCCCTGCCGAAAGAGAGTTTGTCCCCCTCTGCTATTAGAAGACTTGCAGGCTCGTGGAGCTGGGCTGTCGGTGCCTCAATGACAAAGGCGTACCATAGCGCTTCGCCGACTTGCGAGAAGCGGATGCGTGTGCCGGCGCTGAATGGTGGGGCCGTGTCGGCTGGTCCGCGGTCCCCCTCCATGGCAACATGGAGTCCAGTAGTGGGGTCCACCTGGGAGTTGTTCCCCCCGATGTCTGGGATGTGGTTGCTGTCATATTGCACGACGACTTCCCAACAGCCGTGAGTCAGTCTGTACATGGTGTAGGCAGCGTTGTTAGAGGTTTGGATTTGTGGCGGGTAGTTAAGGTCCTCTTCTCCTTGTGGGAGGTGGCTGCGGTTAGATCTGGGCACCGCGCTTTCGGAGGTGCTTGTGTTGTGTGTCGGGGGCATGTTGTTGCATGCGCCCTGCTGCTCATCGGCTGCCGCTGCATGTGTGGGTCGTGGGTAGACCGGCATATTGTTGCCTCTTGCTGGCTTGTTGCGCTGCCTGCTGGGGGGTGGGCCGTGCTTCCCACTCCTCGCGCGCTCTGTTTGCTTCTTTATCTCCCCCTTGTATGTCGGGCTGAGCGCTGGGGGGTTGTCATTCCAGGCATGATCCCCATCGGAGGTGTCGCTGCTGTCCGTGGCCGTAGAGCTGCTGGTGCTGTTTCCCCCCTGTTCGGGGATGGTTGGGTTGTCTTGAGCAAAACGGTACCCCCAACCCGGTCCCTCTTGCGGCTGGGGGTCTGGTCTGCGCAGCTGTCTATTCCCCCGATGCAACTGTTTGAAGGAATATTTGCCACGCTTGTTGGCCACTCGTTGTGACCCATGGCCGGCAGTGGATTCACGGGATTGCCAGTGGTCCCCTTCTGGTGGTTGTGTCTGCTGCTGCTGGAGGAACTGCGGTGCTGGTGTCGAATGCCCCCTCATCCGGGGGTCTCCCAAAGCGGTCGGCGTACTGTCGGAGGTGCCGTCTGCTGTTGGGTTTCCCCCGTCACTTCTGTGTGTTGTCGTGCTCGGTCCGCTTGTGGCTGCTGGGTCTCTGCATCGTCTGTCTGATCCCGCTGGGGAGGGGTGTGGTCTGCTGTTGCTTGTGTGGCATCTCCCGGTCCAGAGCCGGACCATTCCATTTCTGGAGGGATGTCCCCCTGGTACGTGCCAGTTTGACCTTCGTACCATTCACGCTGATTGCGAAGCTCCTCGGCGCTGAAGGATGCTTCCTGGGAGAGGGTTGCATGTATCAGCTGGTCCCCCCATCGGTGGTTGTTCTGGCTCTTGTGCGGGCAGTACTCTTGGATCCCAAGGTGGCAAGCTCGGTGGGTCATCGACGTCTGCAGGCTGCGTGGTTGGTGGGAGGTTTGGCTGGTTGTTGTGGTGGATGTCCGAGTTCTGGCGGGTATGGTCGATCGGTTCCCCCTGTCGGGGGGGGCGGCTGCTGGGGTGTTGTTTGCTGGCAGCTGGGGTCCGGTGCTGTGGTCGCTTCCTGTCGTGGAGAGGAGTAGGGGCTATTCCAGGGATTGTTGTCCGGATCATAGGGTCTGGCATATCCAATCCTGTAGAAAGGCGCTGCGGGCATATGGGGCGGGGCCTGTCTTGCCGTGGGCATCCCCCTGGCGGAGGCAGGTGGGGTAGGGACGTCCCAGGCGGAGGTATGTGTGCTGCCTCAGTGCCCTTGTGTCGGTGTGGAGTGAAATGCCGGCTGTGTGGGGGTCTGTGGTGGTAGTGGTGCTGTGTTGGGAAGCTGTTGCTGTTGTTGGATGGGAGATGTAGCTTGAGTGTATTGGATCTGGTTTGTCGGCGGGGGCAAGTATATCCCTCCCGGTCCCCCGTGTTGGAAGGCCGCATTCGGTGTGAGGGAGTATCCCCCCCAGGTGGTATATGGTACGCCCTGAGGGGTTATACGTGTGTGGACTGCCAGGTGATCTGTGTTGGCGGGGCGATCGTCGGATCTTGCATCCACTGTGGCATCCACGGCATCTGTGGCGTTCCCCCCTGAGCTGCCGCCTGCTGTTGCTGCGTTGCCGTCGTAGGTGTGCGAGCTTGCTGGGGCTGTGGTGGCTGTTGTGGATTGTGGTCTCCGCCACTCGGGATGTGGTTCCCATGTCCACCCGAGGTACCCGGGGAGGGAGTGCCACCCCCTCGTCCCCCCAGGCTTGCCACGATGACAATGACTGCTTTCAGGCAGGGCATCCGCTTAGGTGGTTGCCGAAGATAAACGGTCAGAGGTCTCAAAACTCTAGAGCCGGTTTGCTCAGCTTGAAGTAACACATGAAGATCGAGCACAGATAGCCATGTCCCCAACAATCATGTTTCGAGCCAAGGCGCGCGCGGTAGGTCAAGTTGATCATGTCTGCTGATAGTCTGTTCTCATCTGATCCCCACATGTTTGCAAGACTGTCGAGGCTGGGGAAGTCATCAAATATCTGTGTTGCCAACGTGGTAAGTGATGCATGTCCACGGTGTCTGCGAAGTCAACGTGGTAAGCGGTGCATGTCCATGGTGCAAAGGCAACTGACGACTGTCCATTGAGCAAAGCGACATATGTTTCTCCTGACGTTTTCAACATCTCGCGGAACATGTGAATGTCTGCTGGACTAAGTGGGAGAAAGCACCGTGTCTTCCCCCGTTGGCTACGAGTCCGAGAGGTACTGCTGCACCCCGCATCATCAAGTAGTCAGCGGTGGAGGTGGCGGGAATTCTCCCCCCCTGGCGTCCGAGCTCGTACTTCGATGTGGCGTAAGGTTCGTGATGCTTGTCTGCCTTCCAGATGCCCACGGCACGTCGTATTTGTCAATCCATGTTTGGAGGAGACTTGACCATTGGTTCCGGTCCATGGCTACCTGGTGCCAATTCTCCCCCGCGACAGATGTGACCTGCCGATCAGTGTCCATGTACGCGTTGAAACGCCTAGCATGGGTGATGTTCCCCCATGGTGGTCTGCGAGCATTCCACCATGCCAAGCATCGCCACCGGAGGAGTTGTCCCCCGACCGGATCACCACGACACATGTGTCCGAGTAACCCCCAGATCTGCTCAAGGATGAAGGTGGACCATCTGCTTGCTGCCGGGTGTTTCTTGGTGATCCCGTGGCGGAAGAGTATCCCCTGGCTTCTTCGAAGGGTGCGTTGATTCCATGTGGTCCAACCTTCGCCGTCCCCCCTTCGCATACCAGCCATATCCCGAATATGGGCTAGTTGGATGGAGTTTGCTTGCTTCAGAATCTGTGCATTGCAAGGCCACGTAGCGCAACCCCAGAGGGCTGATTGACGGACCAGCATCGTATGCAAAATCATCTTTTTGGAGATCGGCGCCTTTGCCATCAACTCCCCCCGGTGTGTCCAGAAGGCTTTTCTCCCGCTTGTTTGCATCGCCGCAATAACTATATTGCTCGGTACGAGATGGAAAGCCATGGGACTCCCCAGGACGGTCATGATGTGGTTCTCCCCCTTCGTCTTCACTTCCTTGCCGGCAACCTGGAAGGTGGCTGGTGTCTTGTTACTGATGATGTCCACTTTGCCTGGATGCAGGAAGAGTCCTTTCTGAGGCAATTTGTCCCCCAAAAGGTCCAGCATCTTCTGCATGTGCGTCCGTGACATGGGCCAGATATACGTATCATCCATGTAGCTACCTCCGTCCTCGGGCGGTGGGCCCCCCGTTGTAGGTTTGGAGGCCTTGGCTTCCCGGATGCAGTCATCAAGGTCTCTTGCCACTGCTGCACCGAACGCTACGGGGCTATCAGGGCTTCCCTGACGAACTCCATTGGTTTGGTCCAGTTGGAGGGTTGTCCCCCGAAAATTGATGGAGAGCTTGCCGGATCGTAGGAGTGCCGCCCATGCACGGGCTTCCCACGGTTTCCCTCCCTTCAACGCAACGTCGGCCTCGATTCTGTCTGCCATGGCCTCTTGGTAGACGGAGTCAAATGCTTTGCGTATGTCAAGTTTCACTACAAACATTTCCAGGCCGAAGTCAAAGGCAATGCGGCAGACTCGTCGGAGTATCATCAGTTCAACACCTTGACGGCTCTGCCGTGACCATTGCAGTCGTGCTGGGGTCATGACGTCTTCTCCGGCTCGTAAAAGGAGTAGCTGGGAGAAGGCCTTGAGCAAAGCCGAACTCAGAGTGATCGGTCTTGTTTCTGTCCAATCCCCCGGCTGGCTGGTTTTTGCCAAGAGGATGCTGACTCCCCTCTCAATTGACTGCGGTATCTTGGCTGTATAGAGCATATCGTTGAACAGTTCGAGCATCATCCCCCCCCAGAGGGGGTGCTGTAGCATTGCCTTCATGGCCTCGTGTGAGACCATGTCCGGACCACAAGCTCGTCCGTTCTTCCACCGCTTTCTGATCGAAACAAATTCTTCCATGCTGAAGGGTATCCAGGCTGTCCCCTTGCATAATCGAGCAAGGCGGCCATCCACTTGGGCGAACTTGGCCTCGACTATTGCGCTATCTTGCTTCTGGAAGATGTTCTCAAAGTGCTCGGTCAGTTTCTCTCGCCATTGCGGGTCATCCGTGAGTGGGAGTTCCCATTCGTGGCTGCGCATCGATTGAGTTAGCGCCATCTTGGCATTCCAGTCGCCGATTGCCGTTCTGTCGAGTAGTTGCTTCCTCCATTTGCGATGTTCTTGGCCGTGTGTCGCATCTTGTTTCCACAGACCTCGTCGTTCTGCTCCCCCTCGATGGCTGATGGCCGTAGCTCGAAGCTTCTTCTGCACCTTGCTTTCCTGGAAGTGAGGCAGGACTTTCTCCGGGACGGTAATTGCGACGGCGGTCCGTGCCAGGGCATCCAGAGGGTCCCCCGAGGTCAGTGGAGCTTCCAGGATCTGCTTCACCACTGTAGGTCCTCGCAGTCGTCGGCTCCCCCATTCTGGGGCTCTGGTCGAATAGTCGCGCTTGGCGGGTTTAACCGCTGCGCTGACGAGTACTGGTTCGTGGTCGGAGCTTGCAACATCTCGTTGGGCGAGGACATCCCCTGACTCGCCTGGAAGGTGTCGGAGAGCTACATAGTCGAGTCGTCGTGGTTGGAGGCGATGATTGTATGGGAAGTAGCTCGGTTTGTCAATGTTATGCTCAGGGACTATGAGTTGTAGTCGTTCGAGCCATCCAAGGATCATTTCCCCTCTGCCTGTTTCAGAGTCGAGGCCACTGTTCCCACGTAGTACGAAGGTTTCATTAGCATCCATTCCCAGCAGGCCTTTGTGCTTCTTTCGTAGCTGGTGTTCTGCTGCTTCGAGGATTTCCCCGGCTTCTGCCATGCTTGCGTGGTGAGGAATGTGAAGAGAGGTGGCGATCATGTTGATGTTCCCAACTTGTATGGTGCAGGACGTACTGCACTGGGATGTCTTGCAGGCAGATCGGGTGATATCGTCGGTGTGCGCTATCCCAGTCCCCCGCCATTCCTTATCAAGTTTGCCAGCGAAAAGTTGTAGATCGTCATGTTCGGCGAAATGTTTGCCTGGTTCTATGATCATCTCTTGGAGAAGTATCACAAAGCTGCCGCAAAAGGGATGAATTCGAGCTTGTCGGAGTGAAGATAGCATTCGCAATGCTTTTTCAGGTTGAAGGCCACCAACATTCCAACTGAGAAAGTACACCTCTGAGGGAGCTTTCCCCTGTGTGTGAAACAAGCGCTCGTCGTTGCTGGGGTCTCAGGTGAGCGCCTTTCGGAGCTCCTTCCATGCTTCCTCGAGCGCTTCCCCCGACGTTCCCAGTTGGCGTGCCAGCGGGGCTAGGTTGAGCCATCCCCCTGGTGTAGTCGTAGCGCCGTCGGGGCCAGTGGTCACCCCCGAAGCAATCTTGGTCGCATTGTACCAGACATCGGCCGTGCCAAACTCAACTTCGAGGGCTGAGTTCCTTCCCCGGCCTCGAGCACCAGTCTTTTGACTTTGCCAGCAAATTGTGCTCGGCGGCGACGTTCCAGAGGTTGACTCATTGCCGCAAAAAAGTGGTGGTTGCTTCCTTCTGGTCTTGGTCCAGTGACGATTTTTGCCTCGCGGATGGTGGCCAGGGCTGCCTGGACTCTCCCCCGAAGTTGCATTTGTGTTTCCCCCTGACGAGCCCGGAGTGGTAGAATGGCAAAGCCTCGTCGGAGCCCTGGCACAAAGGCTTCGTCCATGTCCAGATCAATCTCAAGCTGGGCAACATGTTGTTTAACCAACCTCAGTGTCTCTGATGCTGCTTGTTCTGCTGCCCATCCCCCAAGTACAAGGGCGGGGCGGACCGGTTCGGCTGTTGATCCCTCGGACCCCCGTTTGTTGCTGCTCACATTGAACTGCGCGGTCGCGAACTTCCCCTCAAGGAGCTCGAGTCTGGTCCCCAGGTCCTGTGTGTGCTGCTCGATGCTGGTTACCTTGGAGTCGATCTTAACTTGCTGATCGGTGACCGTTCTGCATAGAGCTGTGGTGCATTTCTCCACGGTGTCGATTCGGCTGTGCACCTCGGCTAGGCCTTCGCGTAGCTCCCCCGAGAGGATGTGTCTCTCTTCGCGGAGCTGCTCACGAATAGCCTCCCTGATGGAGGCCAGTGTGACCTTGTCTTTGTCCTCGTCAGTCCCAGCTCCCCCTTCTCGGAGGCGTTTGGGAGGGCTGGAGTTGGCCAGCAGGCTTGTGGTTCCCCCTTCTTGGGGTCCATTGCTCCCGGTAGATTGCATTTTCGATGTCGACGAGAAAGGAGCACGTTGCACAACCTCCTTATTGTTTTCGACCCCGAGTCGAAGTCCCGAATCCCACCCTGCGCAAACTCAGCGAGTAGGCCGCCAAGCCGTACGGGTAGTTGTTCACAGTGTCCCCCGCACGCCTAACAGCAGCGGTTGCCGATGTTCGCCGTTCTTGCCGACCTCCCCCGCAGCAACGGCAAAGACGAGGTCGTGTAGGTTGGCAAACTTGCCGATGATCTTTATAGCGGCGCGGACGGCTGCAAAGCTCTGCACCTGGAGGCAGCCTGGTCCCCCTCTCTCTATCTATCGTTCGGTTTCGAGACCTGGACACAGGGCTGGTCTCTCGAGCACTCACGGCCTTGAGCCAAAATGGCTCTCTCTCTCTCTCTCTCTCTCTCTCTCTTCTTCTGCACAGCCAAAGGAGAGCACGCATGCGCTCTCCTCGCGCGCGAACGCGCCCTGGTTTGTCTGTGGTTGTAAGACTTCACTACACGATGAGGCCGAGGTTGCGACACTGTTGACCCCCTATGGACCCTGACCCCCAAACTGCTGAGTAGGACCCCCGGCCTCGTCGCGGTTCGAACCCTGTTCCGTGCGCCAACTGGCAGTGTATTGCTGCTTGCACAACTGCGAGGAGTCAATTGCCTCCTTCAACACAGGTATCACACTACACACAAAGAACTTGAGACATGCCCCCTGGCTCCCCGTTGTGTGTTGGCTTGCACTGTCTCTCTCTCTGTACAGGGGCAGGAGAAGGCAGCAGCTTCCAGGCCACTCCCTCCGCGTGCGGACGCGCACCCGCAGTTCATTGGCGGAATGTTCCCCTCTTCGGTTTCGCTGGGGAGGGCTAGGCTGTGCTCGAAAATGAAATCAAGCAGGCATCAAGTGCACAATGCACAACAAGAGTGTCCCCCCCTTCAAACCCTGCAAGATTTGCTCGGGAGCAGGAGGAAAAGCGTGCTGCTCCCCCACGGCGTTGCGTGACTGGGGCTTACATCAGGTTGTCAAGGTGGACAGTAATGGACTTCTTCTACACAGCCAAAGGAGACCAGTGGACAGTAATGGTCTCTCTCTTTCTTTCTTTCGCAAGGGCTGCGCCCCCGACAGGAGCGGGAGCCATTGAACTCTGTGTGCACACACCACCGAGGCAGGGATCGCGGAAAATGGACAGCAGTCGAGAAGGACAAGTAGGGTTTGCGCGATATGGCCTCGATGGGCGTTCTCTCTCTCTCTCTCTCTCTCTCTCTCTTCTTCTTCTCCGGGGTCCAGGGAGCTTTTTAGGCCCCCCACGCCGTATGGCGAGCCCCTGTTGTTGGGCCTTCTGGGGAGGCGGTAAAAAGACATGGGTGCTCGGTGTGTTGAAACATCTACAACCCAATTGAAAAGAAACTAGTTTTTTTTCTCTCTCTCTCTCTCTCTCTCTCTCTCTGTCTCTCTCTCTTTCTTTCACCAGGGCTAGGGGCAAGAGAGGCAAGCCCCCCTCACCCGCGCGCGTAAAGCGCCCCCGACATGTGGGGAGCGACTGGTGAGATATGCATGCGACAAAGAGGCAGAGGTGGCCGGTGAAAGTAAGATGCGCTGAAATAACATTAACAAAAAGATGCATCATGGCTACCACGGAATAAAGAAGCAAGAGAAGGACTTTCGCACCTCAACTTCAAATCACGGCCGGCATGAAAGAGGGGACTGTGTTACGTGCCACGTTCTCCTTCAGCTTCTATATCAGAGTACGAGAAATAAGGGAAAACCCCTGAACGACCCCCGCCGAACCTAC